TCGTCGTCAACTGTCCGGGATTGCTGAACAGCATTGTCCAAATCCTTTGGAGTGTACCCCAGATTCTCATATCCTCCAACTTTATTCTTCATGAACTGAACAATGTTGCGTTGTTTTATTCCTGACTGTCGCATCCCTATCGCCAGAGCCTTGTCTCCTTCACTCACATTCAATGAGACCGAAGGAATTGAGTTTCTTCTTCATTGCATCAACGATGTGAGTGCTTCCTCTCAAACTTAGAAACAACCCACATTTTCTTATTCCGATCAAAGCGTACAGTATACGATGCCTTGCAAGAATGTCTTGTCATCTTACGATGTTGTCGAGTCCGACCTTCTTTATCTATATGCATCTTCTCTCTAGTCCCCTCTCTCGAACATACCATTGTCCTCCCAATTGCTTCTCCTCGACGACTCCTCCGAATATCTCTACGTGGAACGCTAAATCCTTTCGCTTTAGCATAGGAATCGTAAAATTTCTCTGCATCTTCTAATGTTTGGAACTCCATGGAAGGAATTTGTTGTTCATATTCCGTAGCTTCTTCATCATCCATAAATTCTTCTTCAGCACCCTCGGTTTCATTATCATCCCCAACCACTTCATCATCCGTACTATCTGTATCATCTGAATTATCCATAGCTCCTTCTCGAGCATCCTTAGGTTCCTCATCGAAGTTAACCTCATCATCATCTCTATCATCTGTAGCATCTCTGTTATCCATCCTGCAACGATCGGAATACGAATTTAATGTAAAAAACATACACAATTAGCTCTCGTCAGGTCGACCTGAATGAACTGTACGGTCGACCTTATTACTAAATAACAAAGATGAGGTCGACCTGAATTTACTGTAAGGTCGACCTAATCATATAATTACACAAATAAGGTCGACCGGATGGTGGGGGTGGTCGACCTAATTAAGGAAAAATTTAACCACATACAACCATTAACAAACACATACGAGACATACCTTAGCAAAGAGGTCGACCACTTATTGTTACGGTCTACCAGAATAAAAATAAACCGCCACCAACACCCGATCACAATAAGAGCGATGAGATTACAACTTCACTCCAACAAATTGCATAAATCGAAGTACGAATAAATTCTTAACACTCTCATCTATTTATAGATAATGTAGACGAATTCCTTATCCAATTGGTGAAAGATATATAAAATCATAATTCGACAAGGACAAGTACACAAAATCCTAATTGTACAAGGACATGAATCATTACGGTCGACCGCTTTGCACAAATGGTCGACCGTCTTGGGTAAATGTGAAACAGGTCGACCTCTTTACACAAATGGTCGACCGTTGTTTATAAATGTGAAACAGGTCGACCTCTCGACACGAATGGTCGACCGTATTTTATTAAGGCCAAACAGACGAGATTCCATCCTTATTCCACATGGTTTTTGACTTTGCTACGGTATCATATGTCGACCTTAAGCGTCACGAGGTCGACATGTGCTCTGCCTTTGGGTTTGCCCGCTTTGAGTATGTGGTCGACGACTTGTTCTAGACGATTGAAATCGTAAATTCAGTGACATCCATAATTGTATAATAAATCTAATAAACGATAAACTTTCAAAATAAAAAATGAAACGATCTCGCAAATACAAATTCAATGTATTGTCCAAATAATGCAACATTGTAACTTAACGACTTCATTTCTTTGCTTTGTTGTTTGAACTCTGTCTCTCTTTGCCTCGTTCCATGTATTCATCTACTACATGCTTGAAAAGATTTTTTCGTGCACGGTTTTCAAAATGTGTAGCCAGATACCATAGAATCTCCTTTCGAGCCGGTAATTTGTGTTCTTCATCTATCTGCATTATGCCATGTAAGACTTCGTTACAACTAAAAAAAAGTGTAAATTAAACAAGTTATTTGTTTGACGATATACTCACCACTCTATCCAGATCCTTGGATCCAAACACTCACTATATGCTATAAACAGCGAATACAAACAAATGCACTTTCGAAATTTAATGATATAGGGACATTGACTAGACTAACCTTCTGGCATGCACTAACATTCGGCATAAACACCACGCCATCATTCATCAACTTGTTACAAATTTGTCTGGTCTTCATGTTAGCGCGTACCATTTTCTGCACCATGTTTTAATTGCGATGAATTGACATGGTACAATATAAATAACTAGGTTATGACAAATAATTTGACATTACGGCTCTTACCGAAAACATATTTGGCAAATACCACACATTTGGCTCTTTCACATCATGTTTTTCAGACATTGTTAGTGTCCTTGTACACAAATCCACTACCTACCATCCAACAATCAAACACAAAATCATCGTAAATCGTAACATAAATAGTGCAAAATTCATACGAAAGTCGTAGTAGTATAGTACTTACTGATGAGCAAACCCAGCTATTCTCGCTAATGACCGAACTCAAGTAATGTCGTTGCACGTTTTCAGAAAAAAAAGTCCACAACGGTCAAACTGCAAAAATCAAAATAACAGAAATGTCAATTGTGATTTGCAACGTACAGGTCGACCTGTTCACATTCACGGTCGACCTTATTGGACAAACGGTCGACCTTATGACCTAAACGGCCGACCAAACGTACTAAAAAACGTCTTACTTGTCCCAATTCATGTCCCCAGCCTTCTCTTTAGTAACAACATAATACAAGTCTTCAACTGGATTTTGAAGATTTTTGGTGAATCCTTCTAGACCCTCCAACTTCATGACCTACAAATCATAGTTAAAATTAAAGTAACATATGAACACAAACACACATTATAGATGAATATGTAACGTAAACTTACCCTGTGCTTTTCAAAAGGACTCTTAGATTCATCTTCATCGCTATCAGCACTAAATAATCCTTTTGTTACAAATTGATCCTTCTGTGGAGTGGTGTAGGAGTCACTTTCATATCGCGGTCTCTTGTACATAGGAGAGGAACCCTTGCTGCCATTTGTTGTTTCACTCTGTCAAACATATAAACAAAACAAATTAGCACTAATGATAGTAATACTAATATCTTCAATCACATATGAATATGCTTGGATACCTTTAAAATGTGCTCTTTCAATAAATCGTCTATGCTCTGGTAGCAATTTTCAGAGTCATCATGGTCTTCCTCCTCTTTACCAAAGTCAAATTTCTTTCCTTTACCATCTCTTCCGCCATTCTCCATTCGTTCTGCACTTATATCTTTGATAGCACCTTCTAGCCTCTCAAACCCGTCATGCATCATCCCAGTCATATCTGTCAGTCGAACTGACAATTGCTCCACTCTATCACGCATGGACTTCTGAAAGTCATTGACTTGTGTTTGACACACCACCAGCTTCTCTTGTGTGGCTTTCAACAATTTCATGATTTCACCCAAATCTTGATGCAGTCTCTCATCATGCGTCATCGTCTAAACAATTTAAAGAAAAATTCAAATCATAATTCAACTACAAATTTCTACAATTGACCAAAAAACAAATACGTGGTCGACCTGACAAAGTATTAGGTCGACCTGGAAGACATAGTGACTACCACAACCATTAAGGTTGACCTCTGTTCTTCCTAGGTCGACCTATCCAACAGGAAAAATAACAATTAACAACAAAAAGTAAGTTCAAAATTAAAATGAAAAAAAGGATAGGTCGACCAGATATCTGACGCGGCCGACCTTTTCAAGCACAACATAGTCATACAAACAAAGACAAAGTCAACATTCAGGTTGAATAACCAAAACAAACAGAAACGGTCGACCTTGAAACACATTAGGTCGACCACTTTGGTTGATCTTCGTTACCTCGCAAGTACAGAAGTCCAAGTGTTGTGCCCTAAATTCAAATACGAAGAATTGTCTCGTCAGGTCGACCTGGTTGATGTCACGGTCGACCGAATGGAATTCTGCACGCAACAATATATCAAATTAGACGGTGGAAATCACGCATTCGAAAAGATGACGGCGAATGCTACATTAGGTCGACCTCACCTTAGACCTGGTCGACCACTTTCAACACGTACAACAGCAACCGCGAACGATCTTCCTCACAAAGGCTCTAAATCGGGGAAAAACCTAATTCAGATTTGGTGGCGTTGAAGGGGACTTATATTCCTATTTATAGAGATTTAGGACGTGAATAGGTCGACCCAATTCGTTTCCTTGTCCAATTGTGGAACCTTTCTAGTGTTGGAATCCATATCCAATACGGATATGGTGTGAAGGCGGTCGACCTCTTCATAATGCGGTCGACCTGTTAGGTGCACAATGGTCGCCCTATGAGGTATTTGGGTCGACCTTTCATTCTGTTAGTCCACCAAAGCGGTCGACCATATTATGTAAGAGGCCGACCGCGTCTCGGAACCTCACATACATGAATTAGTCAGTTCGGTCGACCGCATGTGGGATTAGGTCGACCGAAAAGTCCTAGCAAAATCCTATTGTTTAAAATGAAAGGTTTGTATATTAAATTGTATTTACCCAATTTTCTAAATACTAACTATCAAATTGTATCGAATTAATATTTAAATCGGATTGAATATATGAATGTCTCGATTCGGGTCTGATCCAGTCAGAACGTTTGCACAGCTTCGTGGTCAGCCCTTGAAGCAGCTTTCATTCCTGTCTCTGATACCCCTAAATCAGTGTCAAGATTCCCATCTATTGGTTGAAACAGTAACTATGGAGCCTCTCTAGACTGTGATAGCATATTCCGAATGATCGATACCGCCCCAGCCACTGAAAATGCATTACGTACAGTACATACAAAAAGAAAAGAAAAACTGCATGCCAGCCTGATTCTCCTCTGTCTGCTTTACATCTCAAAGGAACTGATTCCCTTCTCTTTCTCTGAAATTTCCTTTACTTTAACGATCAAAAGAAGATTCCCCCATTATGACAAATTCTGAAAGCCAGAGCCCTGGAAATTGCACAATAGCTGCTGCTGTTATATATCAGCTAAGAAATTAGCAAGCTAGAGGTACAGGAGAAGACGATCGAGGGGCCGTCCGGTGATGTCAAGCAGTAGCTCCAGGCAGACCATTGAAGTCATTACAACAGAAGAAGCTCCACTGAAATGGAGCGTTGCTTTGAGAGAAGAAGTTTTCAAGAGGTTTCTTCTGGGACAGGGGACGTCAAATACTACTACTTTGAAGAAGAGGGTATTCGGCGAGGGCTCAATTTTCAGTCCCCTGTTGTTTGGCAGCAAGTTCTTCGATCCTTCTGACGCCTTCCCACTATGGGAATTCGAGTCCGAGGTGTTGCTCGCCGCCCTCCGGAGCTCCGGCAAGACCACCGTTGATTGGTACCAGACCGATGAAGCCTACGTGTTAAGAGCACAACTTCCAGCGGGCAAGTCTCACTCCCTTTTTTCTTTTCCTCTGTTCCTCTGTTTCTCTGTTCTGTTCCTTGAAGAGATTGTATGTTTTATGCTTATAACTAGTTAAACTTAGACGATTCGCCCAACAAGATTGTAATCGAGGTGATTGAGACGATGAATTCATGCAAAGAATTCAAGTTGAATTTATTGATGATGGGTTTTCATTAATTTGTGACTGTAAAAGCAGTTGCAACATCAGGAGGGAGTGGGAAGAACAGCAGTGCAGTGAAGGTGTGTGTTGAGAATGGGAAGGTGGTGGAGGTGAGTGGACAGTGGAAGCCATTGAAGGACGATCAGTCAAGCTCAAAGGCAAAGCCAGGGGACTGGAGAAGTGAGGATTGGTGGGAATACGGGTACGTGAGAAGGCTGGAACTGCCAGAGGATGCTGTTGCTGATTCGAAGCAAATGGAAGCAAACCTGATCACCAGCTGCACTACTGGTAATGAAACAACGCTTCTGCTGGAACTAAGGATTCCCAGGAAGTGCAGCAGCTTCAGTGACTGCAACAGCGACCTCCCTATTCCTTGAACGGATTGAAGGATGATATGCAGTAATTGATTCACATCTCCTTCTCCAATGGAATGAGTGTCTGTCTGATCAATTGTATGCTTGTGAAATGGCACTAGCTTCTTCCGGCAGAGAGCTAGGGGCATGCTATGATTCTTGTTAATATGTTTGTCACGTTACTGATATTCTCAACTTTTAGTGTAACCTTTTCACCCATATGGCTAGATCGATCTAAAATGGAAAGTTTTCTTTCCTACTCTCTGGTCTTTAAGATTAAGAAAAGCGAAGGAAAACATTTTATAAAATTGGGTAGCGTTGTTAAATGAACAAAAGGGGATGTAGCTCAGATGGTAGAGCGCTCGCTTAGCATGCGAGAGGTACGGGGATCGATACCCCGCATCTCCATTTTTTTCCTGCCCCGCTTCTTCCTTTGTTGAAACGGGTTATGTGGGCTGGGCCTTTCCGCTCCTGATTCTGATTTTCTTCCTTTGTTGAAACGGGTTATGTGGGCTGGGCCGTGAGCTGGGCCTTTCTGTTCCTGATTCTGATTTTGAGGCCGACTAACTCTGATCTATTTTGTAAACGGGCCAGCTACATCACATGCAGATAATGGGCCATCAGTTTTTTTATTTTGTATACTAGGGGGTAGTTTGGAAGTTGTAATTTTAAATGGTGTATTGATCTAATTCATGTATTTGTGAGATTAAGTCGTTTTTTTTGTTTATATAGAACTAGAATACATGCATTTACTTTTTGGAGACCCCACCAAAATCACTCAATATTGAGGGATTTACAATGTCTACTTTTTGTTGAGATTCTTCACAATCAGTCAATCACTCAATACTAACTTTTTTACCTTTGGAACAAAAACACAATCTAAACCTCCAAACAAGATATTTACCTAATACATCAATAGATTCAATCCATCAAATGATAATACACTAATTGTCCCAATACATCAATTTGAAGAATCACAACTTCCAAACAACACCTTAAGACTAATCAATTGTTTGTATACTAATAATTTATTCATGTATTCTAAATGAATGATTCTTTGAATTCATGTATTCTAGAGAATGAATCATTTTTTTGTTCCAAAAATTTATTCAATACATGCATTTGAGGTGAGCCCTCAAATCTCATATCATCCACAATCACTCATTTTAAATCTCAACAAAAAGGTGAGATTCTTCCTTTGAGATTGTTGCCTTTAATTTGTTCCACTTTTAGCTCATAAAGTGATTTTTTCTGTTCTTTAAAATTTTTGAATGGCTACAACCAAACAAGACATTCTTCCAATCATCCAATTCTTACAATCTTTGTATTTACAATAGATGTATTCATCAAATACACATATTGGAAGAATCTCAACTTTCAAACGACCCCAGACTCATCAATTGTCTATATATAGAGGGTCTTAAGTCTTAACTCTTTAAAATTCAGTCCCAAAAATGAGGGGGGGAAAACAAAGAATTGGATCCCAAACCTTTTTTCGACGATGATATTGTCCGTTTTGGACCTCGACCATCACAGTTTTTGACTTGTGGTGCAATTTAATATGACTTCTTATAAGGTCACTCATTCTTGTTGTACTCCACACTGAGCACATTTAGCTTTGGAGTTCTCACAGAACTCCTCAATTTCACCCCCAAAACGCGTCTTGTCAGTTAAGGTCAGTTTCTTACTAATGAACCATGGACCTCTCCAGTGCTTTGTCGATGTGGGATTTGCCTAAAGTGTTACATACACCCTCCTTGGGACTCGACGTCCTCGTTGAGATTTGCCCCACCATCGTTCCGGGGGGGGGGGGGGGGGGGTTGTATGTAAAACCTTAGACAAATCACACATCGACAAAGCACCGGAGAGATCCCTGGTTCATAATTAAGAAACCAACCTTAATTGACAAGATGCGTTTTGGGGTGAAATGGAGGAGTTCTTGTGAGAACTCCAAAATTAAACATGATCGGTGTGGAGTACAATAAGGATGAGTGACCTTATGAAAAATCATCTTAAATTACACCCCCAGGCAGTGGCGGAGGAAGCATTTCAAACCACCCTTGTCCTCTTTTCATAACTTAAATATATAAGTATTTAATAAAAATAATTATATCTAAATAATTCATTCATAAATTAAAAATAACCGATTATACTATCGTACTTTTCAGAAACAACTACGAAGGAATTTCATATAGTGAAAGAAGCGCAAAAATATTTGTTTTCTACACTATTATATAAGTCTCTTTCAATGTATCTTACTAAACGAGTATTAGCAAACTGGTCGCCAAATCGACTTGGAAACATGTTCTTAATATAACTCAAAGCTGAAAATGCTCTTTTTACACTTGAAGTTGTAATGGGTAGATCAAAACTAGCGGGATTGCCGTTGTCGCTAGACAATTTCAGGGTTGTTGGGGAAAGATCAGATAGGCATAAGGAGAAAAGAGACTCGATTAGTTCTTTATTGCAATTGGAATTTCGTTTATTGTATAATAAATTAATTTTATGTCAATTTTGGACAAGTAATGAGTTGTGTTGTAACTGTAATGACAAAGTACTCTAATACTACCTATACGTGTTGTGTTCCATCACCAATATAAATATATACCAATATAAATATATATAGCGTATTTTTATTCCACCAAAATTTACCCCTGTCCCGGGACAGGGCCAAAAGGCCCTGCCTCCGCCACTGCCCCCAGGTAAAAAACCGTAAGGGTCGAGAGGCAAAACGGACAATATCTTCGTCGGATAAAAATTCGGAAGGTTATCGTTCGTTTATCAGTTTTGTAAAGCATAAGGAGAAGAGAAGACCTAATTCGCGAGATAAGAAAAAGCCAATCCTTTAATAAGTCAGATCTGGTAGCTTTGATGGGTCAAAAATAATAATGCAATATGAACAGATGGAGAAACAAACATATGTGTTCAGGAAGATGCAGACAAAAACACCATAATAATTAATTTCCTTCCCGAAAGGCTCCAAATATCACTGGGTAAAGGCTTTCAGTTCTGTGCCAATTAAGGACAAAAGACTGCCATGTTATGTTCTTCCTCCGTCTTTCTTTTCTTATTCTTATTCTTATTCTTATTCTTATTCTTATTCTTTCTATCGTCTTGCTTGAAGGCAGCAGGGCATGAGGAAGCTACAGCCTCCTGGCTCCAAGTAATGAAATTGGAGGGATGAGTTCCACCTTATCGGATCCATAGATCCGCCAATTGTGCACTATAAGTAATTAGCTTCACAACAACTTGCTTTATTGGACTCACTTAATAATTAATACCCTATGAGTAGAGTTTAAGCATAACATTTACATCTTTGTCGTGTAAGTGTTCTCCATTGAATCTTCCACTGAATTTAATTAAATACATCTTTATAACGATAACCAAATACAGTTGACATACCGCTTTAAACAAATCTTAACTACGGGCGACAACTGCTCCCTAAGTCGCGTGCTTCTCTTGCATTGACTAGGGGTGTTCAAACGGTGTGGTTACCATGGTAACCGTTTTAACCAGTACTATTTGGATAATTTGGTTTGGTTAATTTGGATAATTGGTTTGGTTTGGTTAAATTTTTTAGCTTGTTTGGTTTAGGTGGTTTGGTTTGGTTTCAGACACTCCTAACCAGCCAAACCAAATTAACCAGATAAATAAATAGTCATATATCTAATATATACACATACTTAATACTTTGAATAACCACTCAAGAGTTGAACGTTCATCCCTTTTAGACTCATAAAATATAAAGCTTGATATTGTTCCTATAATGTACATTTGTATATGTAGAGTGTAGACCACAACATATGAACGCCTAATTTAGATAAATCTCATATATTATGTTGGATGAAAACTTGAAAGCAAGGTCTTTTTCAGCCTATGAAAATTGCTAAAAGACTAATTCAATTCAAACAAACACAAAAATTTGTTAACCCATACCATTGTGATAAATTTTTGTTAGGTGAATACTTTTATACTAACCGTAAGATAATTGTCTTAGTTGCATGTATTTATGTTAAGGGTCAACTATAACTATGTGTTGATTGTTATGTTTTATTCATTATATAAATTGTTAATTGATAAATTAACCGAAAATTTCCCACTTAATGATAATTTGATTTTATATTGGTTAATCTGATTAACCAATTAACCAAACCGATTAAATTTAATTTGGTTAATTTGGTTGTTGTATTAGTTTGGACAGTTTGGTTATGATATTGTATTTCATGGTTAATGAAATTTAGCCTTATTTGGTTTGGTAATATCCATGGTAACCATTTGAACACCCCTACATTGACAAGGCTGGGAGGAAAGAAAGAGCTCGCTTTGGTTTCACCTCGCGTCTCGTGCTCAATCCTTGTCGCGTGTCATGTCGTGTCATGCTATGACTTGACCTCGTGTCGTGCCGTGCTCAATCCTTGTCGCGTGTCATGTTGTGCCATGCTATGACTTGACCCCGTGTCGTGCCGGCTCTCATTAAACCAACTTGCTTTCTTGAAATTCTGGACTCATATTTTTGGATCTTCGTATGTATATAATGTTCTTTTGTTCTTGTGTGTAAACAAGTTTGTCTTGTAATTTGTACATCGTGTATCTTTTGTTATGAAAGAAGAATGAACTAATCCACATTACAAGAATGAGTCAGCTACGTACCTGAAGACATTGGGGGTCACATTTGACCCATCATGGCACTTTGTGCTCAATTATGTCGTCAAGCAACACTGTTTAACTATCCAAAAGTAGTAAATCGTCTTATTATTATTATTGTTATTATTATTATTATTATAACTAATTAACATTATTGGGGTCTTTGTCCAAAACAGCAATAATTGGGCTTCAGCCTCAATCATTGTGTCTTGCTCTCTTTTTTATTTCATTTTCCGATTACATGTTGTTTGTTCCTCATTAAAGTATCAAAATTCCATAACTTGCCCTTTCTTTTTCAACGAATTAATTTGATTCATCCACTTATTTATAGATTCTGCATCTTTTTTCATAGAATGGATTTCTCTTTTCTTCTTATTGTT